CAAAGCCATATAGAGGATTAAGGCCGTGTCACGCGTGTGCTTCAGTAGAGGAGGATTGAGGCCGTGTCACGCGTGTGCTTCAGTAGAGGAGGATTGAGGCCGCGTCACGCGTGTGCTTCAGTAGAGGAGGATTGAGGACGCGTCACGCGTGTGCTTCAGTAGAGGAGGATTGAGGCCGTGTCACGCGTGTGCTTCAGTAGAGGAGGATTGAGGCCGTGTCACGCGTGTGCTTCAGTAGAGGAGGATTGAGGCCGCGTCACGCGTGTGCTTCAGTGGAGGAGGATTGAGGCCGTGTCACGCGTGTGCTTCAGTAGAGGAGGATTGAGGCCGCGTCACGCGTGTGCTTCAGTAGAGGAGGATTGAGGACGCGTCACGCGTGTGCTTCAGTAGAGGAGGATTGAGGCCGTGTCACGCGTGTGCTTCAGTAGAGGAGGATTGAGGCCGTGTCACGCGTGTGCTTCAGTAGAGGAGGATTGAGGCCGCGTCACGCGTGTGCTTCAGTAGAGGAGGATTGAGGCCGTGTCACGCGTGTGCTTCAGTAGAGGAGGATTGAGGCCGTGTCACGCGTGTGCTTCAGTAGAGGAGGATTGAGGCCGTGTCACGCGTGTGCTTCAGTAGAGGAGGATTGAGGCCGTGTCACGCGTGTGCTTCAGTAGAGGAGGATTGAGGCCGCGTCACGCGTGTGCTTCAGTAGAGGAGGATTGAGGCCGTGTCACGCGTGTGCTTCAGTAGAGGAGGATTGAGGCCGCGTCACGCGTGTGCTTCAGTAGAGGAGGATTGAGGCCGTGTCATGCGTGTGCTTCAGTAGAGGAGGATTGAGGCCGTGTCACGCGTGTGCTTCAGTAGAAGATGATTGAGGACGTGTCACGTGTGTGCTTCAGTAGAGGAGGATTGAGGCCGCGTCACGCGTGTGCTTCAGTAGAGGAGGATTGAGGCCGTGTCACGCGTGTGCTTCAGTAGAGGAGGATTGAGGACGCGTCACGCGTGTGCTTCAGTAGAAGAGGATTGAGGATGCGTCACGCGTGTGCTTCAGTAGAGGAGGATTGAGGCCGTGTCACGCGTGTGCTTCAGTAGAAGAGGATTGAGGACGTGTCACGCGTGTGCTTCAGTAGAAGAGGATTGAGGACGTGTCACGCGTGTGCTTCAGTAGAAGAGGATTGAGGACGTGTCACGCGTGTGCTTCAGTAGAGGAGGATTGAGGACGTGTCACGCGTGTGCTTCAGTAGAAGAGGATTGAGGACGCGTCACGCGTGTGCTTCAGTAGAAGAGGATTGAGGACGTGTCACGCGTGTGCTTCAGTAGAGGAGGATTGAGGACGTGTCACGCGTGTGCTTCAGTAGAGGAGGATTGAGGACGTGTCACGCGTGTGCTTCAGTAGAAGAGGATTGAGGACGCGTCACGCGTGTGCTTCAGTAGAGGAGGATTGAGGACGCGTCACGCGTGTGCTTCAGTAGAGGAGGATTGAGGCCGTGTCACGCGTGTGCTTCAGTAGAGGAGGATTGAGGCCGCGTCACGCGTGTGCTTCAGTAGAGGAGGATTGAGGCCGTGTCACGCGTGTGCTTCAGTAGAGGAGGATTGAGGCCGCGTCACGCGTGTGCTTCAGTAGAGGAGGATTGAGGCCGTGTCACGCGTGTGCTTCAGTAGAGGAGGATTGAGGACGCGTCACGCGTGTGCTTCAGTAGAGGAGGATTGAGGCCGTGTCACGCGTGTGCTTCAGTAGAGGAGGATTGAGGACGCGTCACGCGTGTGCTTCAGTAGAGGAGGATTGAGGACGTGTCACGCGTGTGCTTCAGTAGAGGAGGATTGAGGCCGCGTCACGCGTGTGCTTCAGTAGAGGAGGATTGAGGACGTGTCACGCGTGTGCTTCAGTAGAAGAGGATTGAGGACGCGTCACGCTTGTGCTTCAGTAGAGGAGGATTGAGGACGCGTCACGCGCGTGCTTCAGTAGAGGAGGATTGAGGACGCGTCACGCGTGTGCTTCAGTAGAGGAGGATTGAGGACGCGTCACGCGTGTGCTTCAGTGGAAGAGGATTGAGGCCGTGTCACGCGTGTGCTTCAGTAGAGGAGGATTGAGGACGCGTCACGCGTGTGCTTCAGTAGAAGAGGATTGAGGACGTGTCACGCATGTGCTTCAGTAGAGGAGGATTGAGGACGCGTCACGCGTGTGCTTCAGTAGAAGAGGATTGAGGCCATGTCACGCGTGTGCTTCAGTAGAGGATTGAGGACGCGTCACGCGTGTGCTTCAGTAGAAGAGGATTGAGGACGCGTCACGCGTGTGCTTCAGTAGAGGAGGATTGAGGACGCGTCACGCGTGTGCTTCAGTAGAAGAGGATTGAGGACGTGTCACGCGTGTGCTTCAGTAGAGGAGGATTGAGGACGCGTCACGCGTGTGCTTCAGTAGAGGAGGATTGAGGACGCGTCACGCGTGTGCTTCAGTAGAGGAGGATTGAGGCCGTGTCATGCGTGTGCTTCAGTAGAGGAGGATTGAGGACGTGTCACGCGTGTGCTTCAGTAGAGGAGGATTGAGGACGTGTCACGCGTGTGCTTCAGTAGAGGAGGATTGAGGACGCGTCACGCGTGTGCTTCAGTAGAGGAGGATTGAGGACGTGTCACGCGTGTGCTTCAGTAGAGGAGGATTGAGGACGCGTCACGCGTGTGCTTCAGTAGAGGAGAATTGAGGACGCGTCACGCGTGTGCTTCAGTAGAAGAGGATTGAGGACGCGTCACGCGTGTGCTTCAGTAGAGGAGAATTTAGGACGCGTCACGCGTGTGCTTCAGTAGAGGAGGATTGAGGACGCGTCACGCGTGTGCTTCAGTAGAGGAGAATTGAGGACGCGTCACGCGTGTGCTTCAGTAGAGGAGGATTGAGGACGCGTCACGCGTGTGCTTCAGTAGAGGAGAATTGAGGACGCGTCACGCGTGTGCTTCAGTAGAGGAGGATTGAGGCCGCGTCACGCGTGTGCTTCAGTAGAGGAGGATTGAGGCCGCGTCACGCGTGTGCTTCAGTAGAGGAGGATTGAGGACGTGTCACGCGTGTGCTTCAGTAGAGGAGGATTGAGGACGTGTAACGCGTGTGCTTCAGTAGAGGAGGATTGAGGCCGTGTCACGCGTGTGCTTCAGTAGAGGAGGATTGAGGACGCGTCACGCGTGTGCTTCAGTAGAGGAGGATTGAGGACGCGTCACGCGTGTGCTTCAGTAGAGGAGGATTGAGGACGTGTCATGCGTGTGCTTCAGTGGTGGAGGATTGAGGACGCGTCACGTGTGTGCTTCAGTGGAGGAGGATTGAGGCCGCGTCACGCGTGTGCTTCAGTAGAGGAGGATTGAGGATGTGTCACGCGTGTGCTTCAGTAGAGGAGGATTGAGGACGTGTCACGCGTGTGCTTCAGTAGAGGAGGATTGAGGCCGTGTCACGCGTGTGCTTCAGTAGAGGAGGATTGAGGACGCGTCACGCGTGTGCTTCAGTAGAGGAGGATTGAGGACGCGTCACGCGTGTGCTTCACTAGAGGAGCATTGAGGACGCGTCACGCGTGTGCTTCAGTAGAGGAGGATTGAGGACGTGTCACGCGTGTGCTTCAGTAGAGGAGGATTGAGGACGCGTCACGCGTGTGCTTCACTAGAGGAGCATTGAGGCCGTGTCACGCGTGTGCTTCAGTAGAGGAGGATTGAGGACGTGTCACGCGTGTGCTTCAGTAGAGGACGATTGAGGCCGTGTCACGCGTGTGCTTCAGTAGAGGAGGATTGAGGACGCGTCACGCGTGTGCTTCAGTAGAGGAGGATTGAGGACGCGTCACGCGTGCTTCAGTGGAGGAGGATTGAGGCCGCGTCACGCGTGTGCTTCAGTAGAGGAGGATTGAGGACGTGTCACGCGTGTGCTTCAGTAGAGGAGGATTGAGGCCGCGTCACGCGTGTGCTTCAGTAGAGGAGGATTGAGGACGTGTCACGCGTGTGCTTCAGTAGAGGAGGATTGAGGACGTGTCACGCGTGTGCTTCAGTAGAGGAGGATTGAGGCCGTGTCACGCGTGTGCTTCAGTAGAGGAGGATTGAGGCCGTGTCACGCGTGTGCTTCAGTAGAGGAGGATTGAGGCCGTGTCACGCGTGTGCTTCAGTATAGGAGGATTGAGGATGCGTCACGCGTGTGCTTCAGTAGAGGAGGATTGAGGCCGTGTCACGCGTGTGCTTCAGTATAGGAGGATTGAGGATGCGTCACGCGTGTGCTTCAGTAGAGGAGGATTGAGGCCGTGTCACGCGTGTGCTTCAGTAGAGGAGGATTGAGGACGTGTCACGCGTGTGCTTCAGTAGAGGAGGATTGAGGCCGTGTCACGCGTGTGCTTCAGTAGAGGAGGATTGAGGACGCGTCACGCGTGTGCTTCAGTAGAGGAGGATTGAGGACGCGTCACGCGTGTGCTTCACTAGAGGAGCATTGAGGACGCGTCACGCGTGTGCTTCAGTAGAGGAGGATTGAGGACGTGTCACGCGTGTGCTTCAGTAGAGGAGGATTGAGGACGTGTCACGCGTGTGCTTCAGTAGAGGACGATTGAGGCCGTGTCACGCGTGTGCTTCAGTAGAGGAGGATTGAGGACGCGTCACGCGTGTGCTTCAGTAGAGGAGGATTGAGGCCGCGTCACGCGTGTGCTTCAGTAGAGGAGGATTGAGGACGCGTCACGCGTGTGCTTCAGTAGAGGAGGATTGAGGCCGTGTCACGCGTGTGCTTCAGTAGAGGAGGATTGAGGACGCGTCACGCGTGTGCTTCAGTAGAGGAGGATTGAGGCCGCGTCACGCGTGTGCTTCAGTGGAGGAGGATTAAGGCCGCGTCACGCGTGTGCTTCAGTAGAGGAGGATTGAGGCCGTGTCACGCGTGTGCTTCAGTAGAGGAGGATTGAGGCCGTGTCACGCGTGTGCTTCAGTAGAGGAGGATTGAGGCATTGAGTGGGAGCAGCTCTTAATTCAGACTGGCAGACATGCAGTGCTTTATTAAGGGTGTGGGCGACATTAACAAGCAAACCAGGCTTGTATATTTCTGTGCTCTTCTGCCAGTTTCAATAATCCACTGGGGCTGGATGTTCATTTGACATGCAATTATTTAATCTCGACTGGATGTATGGATTGAACTCAGATGTAGATCAAATATAAAATCCATTTTTCTCTCATTTAAGCAGGCAAACAAAGCTAATGGTAATTGATTACAGATGTAAAGCTGCCCACATCTGAGGCTGTAATGTGTAAGAAACTATAGTGTGAGGGTTCTGTGGAGGATGCTAAACAGCCACAGACTCAAATAAAAGAAATATTTTTTCTGTCAAATGAACAGGATGTTTTGACATGCAAACACTTGGCTGTTGTAGATGTTGAGATTGATGGGAATGTCAGATTCCTCATGCTGGCTCTCTCTCCATCGCGCCGCAGATCTGTAAACACTGCGGTGGATGCAGGGCTTCACACACTCATTTCCAGAACAGACTTCTCTTTTTAGTCTTGTTCTTTCTCCAGGTATATACCGTATTTACAATCAAATTTGAGGCTTTGTAAATGAAATATAATATCATATGGGCGGGTTGAGCAACTCTATAGTGATATAATCCAAGTTCAAACAATACTGGTTTTGACAAAAAACTAATTCATTTACTAATGATAAATGACATTTTAGCCTTTAAACCATTTTGTTAAGGGGATAAGTCAAAATTTAAAATCATTATATTTGTATATTGATTTAAAACATGTTATTATCTTATTATGTTTAGATTTTAAGAATCCACATTAGCTTCTTTTCAATCCACCGGCTGAATGAAAATGCAATTTCACTCTCTGAGAAATTCTGGAAAATTAGAAACGCAGCAGCGCTTTTTAGAAATGGCTTTGCCAGTACACCATTAAAAACACCATAAATTTAACATTGTCATAATTGAATGCCTGTAGAAGATGCAACAGCACCACATTTTTACTGTAAAAACATACAGGGCTCACATATAGTCATTAAATCATCGCCTCTTGAAGTTTAATAACCCCATTAAGCCATATCGCCATTCCTGTCCCCAAATTTAAGACCTCTTGAAAAAATAATTAAGTCTATCCTTATATAATTTAAGACTTTATATGGCCTTAAATTTGATACAGTTGAATTTAGGACTTTTTAAGGACCCTGTTACTTTAAGGAACCACTGCAAAGGGATTGTCATATTTTTGACACTGCTAATTATGAAGGACTCAGTCAACATGTGCTGAGGATGTTTGGTTGGATTAAAAATATGGCATTGAACTGCATTTGAATACATGTGACACATAGGGCCCTATTTTAACGATCTGAAACGCAAGTGTCAAAGCGCAAAGCGCAAGTAACTTTGTGGGCGGATCCCGGCGCTGTTGCTATTTTCCCGGCGGGATAAATGCCTCTTGCTCCTGGCGCAAATCTAAAAGAGGTTGGTCTGAAGTAGCTTCATTATTCATAGGTGTGGTTTGGGCGTAACGTGGAATAAACCAATCAGAGCGTCATCTCACATTCCCTTTAAGAGCAGGTGCGCTTGTTGCATGGCGGATTGCTATTATAACGGCGGATTTACCAGGCGCGCGTCAGGAGCGGTTCACAGCCGAGGAGACCGACGTTCTTGTCAGGACCGTGAAAGACAGAGAAGTGACGTTGTATTGCATGTTTTGCGTGCACCTGTAAACTATGGCATAAACCCTCATGCAGTAACACCCTCAGACGGCACTGTTTATTGACTGTCTGAAGTAGAATGCATGCAGAAATAACAAGAAATTCAACGTTCAAATCAGACTTATCTATTTATCTCTCTATCTATCTATCTATCTATCTATCTATCTATCTATCTATCTATCTATCTATCTATCTATCTATCTATCGATCGTGGGTGGGTTTCTCCCATCCCCATACAAATCAGCGTCAGTTAAACAGGCGTGGGAGGAAAAAAACTAAATTTTCATGGACACCACAATGATTTCCCTCATGTGTTAATATTTTTCCTTGTTATATTGTATGTATAATGTATGATTTGCAAAAATAAAAACTGCTGCATCTGTGTTGATGAGAGAATCAAAGTGTATGCGCGTTGTGCACCCGCTACATTATGGCCAAGCATGCGCGCTTAAAATAGCATAATGAACAACGCGCAACGCGCCACTGACTTTAGACTAGTTTTTTTCTGGTCAGTGGCGCAATTGTTTTATAGAACAGCAAAATAGCATGAGGGAATGTTTGCGCCGGAACACGCCTCCTCTTTGCGCTGAACCGCCCCGGGGAGCGCAAGTATATTTCTTAGTTAACCGACGTGCGTCTGTGGAGGGAAAAGTCCGCTTTGCGCGGGTGCAAAATAGGAATGATACATGCTTCAGTGTACAAAGTCATTTGCGCCGAGTGCAAGATAGAGCCCATATTTAGCAAAAGCAGCTTTTGTTAAGCGGGATAAAAGAGTGAGAGCAGCAGAAGCGACTCACTGGAACGCCTTGCGGTCCATCTGCGCCTGGCAGCCCGACGTCTCCTTTCTCTCCCTGAGAAACACACAGCAGATTTGTGGATCAACAATTCATCTTTCAGATCTGAAACACTTTAACTGTGGAGCTCAGAATCACTTTAAAGATGAAAAACTTGCCTAAAAGAACTCTCAGTAAAAAGTGAATGCTCCATGAAGGGTTTGACGTGAAACGAGAAGCGGATTCAGACTTGAATAGAGTGTATGTCTTTATATTTGTTTGTTGTCTCCCAGAGTGCCAGATCTCACTGGACACATAAAACAGAGCCAAACAACTGGCAGTGCTGTAATTGCAAAGATTTATTCTCCATAACATCTTATGTCTGTCTTTTATGTTTTCTTAGTGCTTCGTTCTAATAGGATACACTACTAAGATGCATGAATGCAAAACACATCAGATATATGTAATTGAGAAGTAAAACTGTGCAGGACAATAAGAAAATATATCTTAGGTTTAGTTCTTGCGCTGCGTCAGACATGATGCTGTGGGAGCGCTCTGCGTGATCGTGTCCTGAAGCATGTGTGGAATCAGTCCAGTCAGTTATAGGCGGCCGACGTCATGACCGGCAGCTATACATATATATATATATATTAGGGCTGTCAGTTAAACACGTTATTAACCGCGTTAACGCAAACCCATTTTAACGGCGTTCATTTTTTTAGCGCGAGATTAACAGTCTTTTTGGCCTAGCAAACTTTTTTTTTCACATGCTTTTGCAACAGGACGCGGCGTGCGCGGCGCTATGAAACCCATTATTTCAATGGCTTGCGCCGCGCACGGACGTTTTGAAAGCGCAAGCGGATCTAGCTAGACCGGAAACAAAACAACAGGCGCGCCGCACACACTTGTTTGGGTCTGCGAGCCGGCCAAATAGTAGGTTAACGTTACGTTTTGAGTGGATGACGAGCGCGAGACGCCGAAATGGATGCCAATAAGATTCTGAATGGAAAGTTTACTTTTAAAAAGTTGCCAAATGGTTCCATTGACAAGACCAAAGTGATCTGTGTGTTTTGTCGTTGTGAACTGAGCTATCATCATCGCAGTACGTCCAGTCTGAAACACCACTTGATGGCCAAGCACACACACACACACACACACACACACACACACACACACACACACACACACACACACACAGCTGATGCGAATTCTCCGCCCCCTCGTCAGTATTTCTTTCACCCTTTTATTGATGGCCAGTGTTACAGTGTGTGAGAGATGATTTGCTCCAAGTGAGAATGTTAGTGTGAAATTGAACACAGTATATGCCAATGTTGGTTTCAATAAAAAACATTTGCACAAAGCAAGCCGATCCACTTTTCCATGTTGATAAGAGCATTAAAATGAGAAAAAATAATGGGACAAAAAGAAATCAAGAGACATTTAGAACAGATAAAAATGTGCGATTAATTGCGAGTTAACTATGACATTAATGCGATTAATCGCGATTCAATATTTGAATCGTTTGACAGCACTAATATATATATATATATGAAGACAGGAGTATAATGGTATAATGGTCGTGTGTTCCTCCCTGCCCTCGCTACATTACGAGTGGGGATACACACGATTCACGTGTTGTTTGTTTGGGAGTGGAGCACGTCGGCTCTAGCTCTAGTTGATCCAGTAATACTAACACTTTCTCTTCTGTTTATTAAAAAAAAAGTACTACGTTACATTAAACTGGGAAGGGTCATAGCACAGCATATTGTTGTCCTACTGTTAGTCTAACTGCTTCTATTGTTCTCATTTGTAAGTCGCTTTGGATAAAACCGTCTGATAAATGAATAAATGTAAATGTAGTAAATGGGGCTGACAGTGTTCATTCATAAAATGTCCCGACGTGTAAAGAAAAGCATACACTGCTTCACCTCCTGTTGGCTTTCTTCCTGAGGGAATAAGGTCTAATGCAAGTGATCATGATCTCGCGTAGATCACGGGTCCGCAGGATAATGCAGACGGGAGATTCCCTTTCTCTCGAGTTCCTATGATCGCGTGCAAACTCATTATGTGTGCTGTTTTGTCCTCCATTGATAAATTAATTTTATTTATATTGTGAAGCATTATTAAAATTATGTTAGATGTGCATACAGTACAAGAAAAATTAAACATAATTCAGGATATATTTTCAAAAAACATGTTTTTCAGTTAGTATACAATGCATACATGCAAACACTGCCCAAAATAAGGGTCTTAATTAGCGCTTTTGTCTTGTTTTTTTCTAGTAAACATTGTTAATTTATTTTTAAATATTTTGTAAATAAATTAAATTAGAAGCTAAATTATGATAGGAATTGGTTTCTTGAATGTTTCCTAATTCACTAGCATTTTAATGTTTTTTTTAATTTTATTTTATTTTAAGCATAGTCCTCTCTATGATCCGGTTTTACAGACAGGGTTTAGATTAAGCCAGGATTAGGCCTTAGTTCAATTACAACATTTAAGTAGTAAATGACACAAGACAAGCACTGGTCAGTACGGCGGCGGGGATATAAACGTTCCCACAGCGTCATTCTCAAAAAAACAAACAATGTACTGACAAACAATGTGTGTCTTGAGACAAAACAATAGCACTGGCATATTTTAAGATATGTCAGTGCAAGTTGCTTGTACAGTAAATGTATCTTGTCAGCAGAAGACAATAAGTTTAGCTTGAGATGAAGATCATTGGCCTTCAGTAAAGAACAAATGTTTGCCCTCCATGAAAGCTTCAAGCACACACTCATAACACTTCGGCTTTGTGGAGCGGATTGAAAGGCCGGGAGAAAGAGAAACGAAAAGCTTGGCCTTCAGGACATAAAAACATCTAAGCAAGCAAACCTTTCATTAGGAGAGCCGTGAGACTGTAAGAGAACACATAAATGTGGACTGTGGTGACCTGGAGCTGGACCCAGTAACGACTTTGACTCTGGCCTGACATCTGTAGGTGTGTTAACATAAAACATGTTCTGTGGTGAGCAAACATTCAGAGTGAACAGATGTGAGTCCAGCGCTTACACATGCAGGACATCCAATGTCAACCATGTTTGTGCTATAGATGTTTCCTTTTATTTTTATTGTTTTTATTAATCGATAATAAAAATACATTTCATTATAAAATTATTTAACTTGATTAACAACTTAACTTGCTTAACTTAAAATTATTTTAAAAATACATAAAATCAAGAAATCATATTTAATTTAAAAAAATCCCCTTAATTATTACTTCTGTTTGTTTCCCAGTTTACCATATATATATAGTATATGCCATAATTATATCAGAAATGCTGGAGGAAGTATCTTATCTTATCTGGAGGCTTTGAGAGTTGTGCTGGACTTTAAAAGGTTGAGAATCGAGAATTACAGACGTCCGTGTCTCAGAACTGTCGGGTTTGATATAATTGTCCACATTCTCACAGCGTTTCTGGACTAAATTGATTCAGACATATAATTTCAGGTGTACGATGTGCCAGAAACATAAAAGAAGTTACTACTTCAAAACCTTGTTGTTTCAAAACATCACTTATATTCCTGTAAATCTATGTGTGGATGTGTGGTCACATCGCCGGCCCATGTGTCAGCTCAAGGCTGTAAAATGAGTTCAGTACGAAATATGGACAAACTGTGCAACTCGGCTGCAGAACTGGAGGTCGATGGAGTTTAAAACAGCACATGCTGGTTTAGATCTGAATATTAATGATGATAAGTCATTATACGTCTATATTTTCATCAGCATTTGATATTTACAGAATGTTTGAAAAGTGCACATCTCTGATTCATCAACATAAAGTAGACTAAACATGTCTGCGCATTTATAAAGCACTATTGTGTTATAACATACACACGTTTATGTCTTCCCTTCGCCAGTCTGACCGAGTAAAGTGAACACACAGCTAAAACTATATATATTACAATCCAGACTAGTGTCCAGAGAGTGTTGAGACTGTTTTGTCGTGCAGGAACACGATGTGATGCTCTGCGCAGAGCTCTGGGGTTTCAATATAAACTGTAACACAAAATGCTTTTATTCGCGTCTGTCATTATGGAGCCAAATCTATAGAAAACTCATTTAAATGTAGAGAATGTAGAGAGTGTAAACTCCAGTTTGCTTCGGTAACCTGCAGTACGAGTCTGTGGAAAATCCCCAGCCCTAATGCACAGAGAATCTTGGCCAATCAAACGTGAGGACCAGAACTAACTCTTGTATAATCTCTTTACACTGAGTGGTAAACGTAAAGTATACGAGAACATGTTCACCGCTGGAGCTCAGAGAAATCTGCTGCACGATACATATTATCTTCAAACACTATAGACACACACACACACACACACACACACACACACACACACACACACACACACACACACACACACACACTACACTGCTCTGTAAAACAGTCCCACACAGCTGTACACACACATGTACTGGTCGGGTTTGAGCACGCTATCCTTCTGAACAGGAGAGTGTATATGAACGTTGTAGCAATAAAGAGCTATATTTGCAGAGGACTGGCCAATGGTCAGACGTTACACAAACAAACAGCTTAAAGACACTAGCCTTTTCAGAGAGTCTATCTGTCTATCTATCTATCTATCTATCTATCTATCTATCTATCTATCTATCTATCTATATATCTATCTATCTATATATCTATCTATCTCTGTCTTTTTTATTATATGTATATGTATATTTATTTAATTATTGGCTGTGGAAGTTAAGAACAGCAATAAACACGTGTTTGTTTACATATGTGTGCGTGCGTGTGTGTGTGTGTGTGTGTGTGTGTGTGTGTGTGTGTGTGTGTGTGCGAGTGCGTGTGTGTGTGTGTGTGTGCGTGCGTAGGTGTGTGTGCGTGCGTGTGGTGTGGTGTGTGATATGATATGATTCGAGAGCTCCTAAACTCTCAAACCTCAGCACTGGAAGGCCACATGAAGGCCGCAGCGAGGGCTGTATCTCCGTCTCTGAGGCGCAGGGCCCTCAGGGGCCGACGGCTGTGTGTGTGTGTGTGTGTGTGTGTGTGTGTGTGTGTGTGTGTGTGTGT